AAATCTAGAAGGACCAGTCTGATGATATCTAGAAAGCTACCTTTGAATTATTAACATGAGATTTGATAATATTTGAGAGGACAGTTATGGTAGATTGTTAGGGAAAGAAATGTATTGCAATACCTAGAAGAAGTAAGAGTGAAAGTGAGTTAAGACTATAGTTCATCAGCCTGCATTGGAACATGCCTCCATAGTTTTTAAACTCTGTAACCATGGGTAAGTCATGTAAGTTCTCCAAGACTCCAAGTCTCGATTTCCTTTCATGTGTATTAAATGAGAAGGAAAACATGTAAAGCAACAAGCTGTCAATAATATATTACAGCAGCTTTAGCAACACTATCATCATTACCCTTTCATTTAACAATGTGTAGCTAGAGAGGGAGACAAATTACAATATTCTGTTGTTAGTTGCTGTTGAGTTGGTGCCAATTCATGGCAACCTTATGTGCGACATAATGATATGTTTCCATTTTCAGGGGGCTTCAAAAGTATATTTGCATAATCATCAAAAGGAAAATTATAACAGGTGATAAAAAGGATAGTTAATTGAATATGGTCCTAGAATAAGTGATATGGAATTGAGACTTTCTTTCTCTTAATCAGGAGAAAAATGTCAGCACTGGCTCCCAGTCAAAGGTCAGAATGCCTTTTTTGGAGGGAATGGGGACCACGACAGGGATAAAGTAGTGATTGGGCATACAAGTAATGACCTCTGGAGAGACCAGTAATCAGAGATGTGCTATAACTAGGTCTGAGTCCAAATAAGAGTTAGGTTCAAAAGGGATTCTAATCTGAGACTCAGGGGGACTTTGATCATCAAGAGTTTAAATCAAAAAACCAAACCCACTGCCATCAAGCTGATTCTAACTCATTGAGATCCCCATTGGATTTCCAAGGCTATAAATCTTTACGGAAGTAGATTGCCTCATCTTTCTCCTGTGGAGCAACTGGTGAGTTTGAACTGCCGACCTTCTGGTTAGCAGCCAAATGCCTTACCCACTCACTTTAGTGCAAAGGAAATGAGGAATGGAGGAATAAGGATCGTGGTGGTGACAGCTATGGGTATAGTGACAGTGGTAGCATAGCAGCAAAAAATAATAGTAATTTGCCAACTTTCATTGACTAATTTCTGTATGTTGTGTGCTGTGCTTTACACACATTGTCTAATTTGCATTTTAGACTTTATCATTAGCCTTCACCCCATCTAACAGATGGCCACACTGATCATACATAATAGAGCACAAGCAGTCTCTTTACCATAGAACTTAGCTAACTACTCATGACAGACTAGAGGTAAGAATAGTTCCTTGGATAATTTTTAAAGTAGAGAGTAATGAATTTCAGGTAATTAATGCCTATTTAATCTTTTACTTTTCCTTTTTCAAATAAAGGGTAAGGTTTTCAGATAAAATGACCAGAAAGTTTAAGAGCTAAAAAACATTAAGTTTTTTTTTTTTTCTTTTTTAATCATTAATAGGATGGGTGAGCCAATTACAATTTACTAAAAACACTGCTGTTGCAAGGGTCCAGCTGGAGTGGAGTCTGTAGTGTTTCCACTCTTCTGTAATTGTTATCAAACCAGAAAGACAATATTCATTTGAATGAACTATGAATGCTCAGCTAGCTAACAAAATCATTACTGACTCTTCAAAAATTGAAGAGTCATATTAAAGTTGCACTTACTGTTTTCGACTGAAATTCAGAATTTCCTTTCAAATTATGTAAAGCTCTGTAGTAAACTTAGGTAATTTAAGAATACACTTTTATAGGAGGTCTCACATTGCCGGATCTCAAAACCTACTATACAGCCACA